AGTTGATGTAATCATTTTGGCAAATTTCCACTGGCGAGAATCAGGCGGGGTGAGCTCTGAAATCAGCTGTCGTGGGGGCTCGCACCAGGCAGTTAATGGATGAAAGGCTGCCACAGACACCCTTCAGAGTTAATTTGCGCAGACCCATTTTAGAAATAGTGCTCTACAGCCCAACTGTATGAAATGCATTGTGTGTGTATTAGTGTTCATAAAATTCATTAGAACCCCATTAGTTCAAGTGAAAGAGTTCTGTTGCTTTTGTACTGTAAAAATGAAATGCTTTGTGGCCAACAAAAAGATACGAAGTGTACAGAAAACATATCAAAAATGCGTTTTGATTTTCTTGAGACGTTTCAGTCTGACACAGCTTTCATCTGACAGGAAGATTTCTGCTTCAATCAGATGTCAATTCAATTAAATACGCAAGACTATTCCAAAATAACCTTAACTTAATGGAATGCATTCTCTCACCAGGCTGCATAAACATGGGTACACCCACATTTTTTTTCTCTTTCTGTGGTCCAAAACATCTATGTCAGACCCTGGAACACTTCATTATGATGCAATGAGGCAGCTGGCATTTCTTTTAACACAAAGTTTCTAAATTAGAAAATAGTAATAACTGGACTGGTTACTGAAGCAAGGTCCCCTTAACTCATAGACTTATTTTCCAAACTTAACTGTGTAGACCTTTTAATGGAGCAAGCTGCAGGTGTTATAAACACATATATATGGTATGTATTTATGTACACGTAAAATTTTTACAGAAACAAGGTGTTTAGTGAAAAGATCTTTGTAATGAATCTCCAGAAGCTACTTTTGCAATTTTCAGCTATTTGTAATCGTTGTTCAAGAGTGTCTTTTCTTTAGGGTGTCCATATTAGTAAGATGTTGGCTTATTTCAGTGGAAAACGTTTAATCATATGATTATTATTTTCATTAGGGATCACATCAGTTGATTTAGGGATGCCAAAGAATACTTCCCTCAGCTGACTGTAACACTAGCTTTTGTTTATAGCTGACAATAAGCTCCATCTTCTTTGTTGGTGGGAGCATAAGGAAGGAGCCTGTTGACTGAGGTATCCATGAGCATAGATGAGTTAATGGTTTAATTTCAGCCAAAGTGTATATTACTGAATCTAGATCAAATCTGAAAACCCCTCAGTGGAAACTCCTATATGGAAACTCCTAGATCACAGGCACGTCTCCCATTCACAGCTAATAGTATCTTAAGCGTTTAATTTTTGAAGTTATATCTTTCTAACTAAAACCTGTTCACATTCAGCTTCCAATTTCCACCCGGGTCAAACAGCCCTCAGCCGTGACAAGCAGCTGACTCGTTAGTAATTCAACATGGTTATGGTCCATAACTAGGACTTCAAGCGGACACTGTTCTCGTAACTGCGCTTCGAGCTTCATTTCAGTACATTAATATCTGACAGATCAGGATGGTTTGATTTGTTTGTACCATTAGGGAATGTGCTGCACTCTCTTTGGCACCAGTAGGCAGAAAGGGACATAGGAAGTACTGTACTCGTGGGCTCACCTGGAATGGATACATTAACTGAATTGATTGCATCTGTGAAGTCCACCTCACAAAATCCACTGGGACAAATTCTGCTGTCACCAATGAATGCATAGGGAACGCAAGTCCTCGCTTTAATAGGATTAAGCGAATGAGACAAACCATTTCTCAGTGTATGGCTCATGATGTGTGCCAGATTTATGTATCATTTGCCAGAACCGAATGTAACTGAGGGGAAATAATTTTTATAAATTGATTTGTTTCCCTGAAATACAATAGAGGTGTTTGCACTATAATTGCAACAACTCAGAGGGATTCATCTTTTTTCGGAAAGAAAAAAAGGAATATCTATCTGTCTATCTACCTACCTATCTATCTATGTATCTGTATGAGCCTGAGCCTTATCCATGTGGAAATGAGACCACAATTATTGATTTATATTCTCAACCAAGCTATACACATCGTCTAGTGATCTGTACATTTATGAAATGAGAAGGAGTCTTCATAGTCCCTTTGACAAATCTGATCGTTGTTACTACTTCTCCAGTTACTGAGTTTAATTTATGGTGCCCCCAGATCACAACAGAAAACTGGCTATTTTTCACAGATCTTCTGCAATGCATGAATTGTGAAATTAGTTTATTGGAGCTGAGCACCCTGGAAATTGTCAGGTTTCCATGATATGTATACACAGCTAGACGGGTGAGTAAGAGAGAGGAGGGAGAGAAAAGATGTCTCTGACACCTCATTGTTAGTGTTAGCATTTTGCAGGACGACCAACCTACCGCCAAATCTACTTGCAAAATATGTGGGGTTTTTACCTAATGTTGTAAAACCATGAAAGCCATATTTTCAATGAAAAATTAAAAATAATAACTACTCCAAAAGGAAAAGATACATATATATAATAAACTGAAAGTGAGCCTGAAAGTGAAGACCTATATAAATTTGCACGTGAATCCTACAAAGTCAGCATGACTTTGTGAACAGACAAGTGTTAGTAGGTATCTTTGTTCCAGACTTCGTAACAAAAATTGCACCAAGTTACTTCTTGTTGAAAATTGAAAAAAAATACTAATTCATGGTAGTTTTCAGTTCTCAGGCTCCCAGTTGGTCGGTATGCCTGCCTTGCTATGTGGCATATATCATTTCTAACAGCTGCCTTTGTGTCATTATGCAAAATTGCTTTCACGGTATTTTGGACTGCCCAGACAATAACCACCATCTCCCTACAAGCAATGAATTTTTCTGATGACCACAGCAACTGAGTATGCAATCATGAGCACTGTGCATACAAATAACAGAAGTAGATACATACCACACTATTGTGCTGAAACCCAGCATTCCCAAACTGAAAGTATATATATACATTAACTTCCACATATGCATTAAAAATAACAGCAGCAGCAGCAGAAAAAACAAAACAAACAAGCAAACACCAGAGGGGAAGGGGAGAGATGCACATTAAAAATACACAGGAAAATCTAAATGATGCATAACATTAAAAAAAAATGATTAAAATGAGAATGAGGGAAACACAGAAACAGCACTAGAATGTATCGATTTTTGACTGAGATCAAAGCAAAAAGCCAAAATCTTAGGTAAACAAAAGTTAATAACAATCTTGTTTTGCATGTTTACATGCCAGAATAATATGAGATTGGAAATGATTGGAATCCACAGTTGCTAGAAATCTGACCACAAGTAGGACCTTGGGACAGAAGTGAAGAAAGAGGGATCTTTGGAAAGAGGATGGTCCAGTATTTGAACATCAGCATAAAGGTGGTGAAGTGCAAAGAGAAATATCTGGGAAATAACAAGTGATGAACCCTGTGCATAGTGATGGCAACATCTTAATTTCCATATTAGGAAAATAAATGTAGAAGGGAGGCAGAAACAAGGAATGAGGAAAGAAAGCGAGAGATGCATCAATGCCATTCCTCTTTTGATTATACTTAACAAAAATTAGTAAACAAAAAAAAAACAAAAAACCAAACACCAAAAAAACAAAAAACAAAGATCACTTGGAAAGGACAATGTGTAAAAGGAATACAAGATTATATTAATACTTTTCTAGTTCTGTTTTAATGAGTTTGCACAGATTATACTTGCAACTAGAAGAATAGGAAGGAAGAAATGCAAGCAGTATTTGCTTCAGCTTTAGTAGGGGGATTTAAAAACTCAGGAGAAATTCTCACATGCACTCCTGACTACAATAACTTCTCAGAAAACTAACAAGTTTTTGCATAAACTCTGGTTAGAAAAACATGAGCATTTAAAACCATTTCTGTGCTTCTGAATCCCTGAAAGTCTACACATTAAAATATTGAAAGCCCAAGAGAAATTCACTCTACCCAGCAGCCTGGACACGTACGTTAATAAGAAAAATAAAGCCTTAAATCTAAGAGCAAATACCTCTGTACAAACTGTGAGAAAGAAAAGTCAAACATTTTTTTCTTGATATATCTGCAATAGCCTTCTTTTTATCATCTTACAGATTTATAGTTATTAGCATATCCACTATTGTAGTTGAAGGGATTTTATGATGCTCTCATCACAGAGCAGGCTCAGTCGTTGTCTTTCCACTTTCTGATGAGAAATAATTTTACTTCAGCATTATGCAGTCTTCATGCTTGTTACCTAGAATAATCAGGATTTCACCAATGTTTTTTTCTCAGTGTATCAGAATGAAAAGTCAATGAGTGGCTGTCCTGAGTGTCAGAGGGAAGAAATTCAGTTCTTCTGCAAACGGTGAAAGAAGCTCAAGAAATCAAATATATATCCCAGCTAACTATGCATAATGATAATCCTTAACTCCTTCTAACATTTTATGAGAAGAATATATAGATCTAAATGAAATAATTATTTAATAAAAGCTATATATTTAGGTACGAGATACAGCAAGCTTGCTTCCATCTCTGTCTGAATAACTTGGTTTTTGCAAGGCTGCATTTGTAGGGATTGACAAACAAATGCAAGCCTGAAAACATACAGCCCTAAAGTTATCTCTCAGTCCCAAATATTTTCCTTGAAGGGACCTTGCTTCTGAACGCTGTATACTTCACAAAGCAAGTGTAGTGCACATATTTTACAGCCGATACAATCTGAATTTGCTTCCAAAATTGATGGCTGAGGCAGTTCTCTCAGCTGTTTTGGGTTTTTTGTTTGTTTTTTTTTTGCTATATCAAGTTAATACTCAAAGTGTCTGATACACTCTGTTATCCCATAAGATCAAAGAGAATTACCCTTAAGGTACGCATTTTTTGTAACTGATCGAATCTAGAAAGAAATAGGATTGCATTTGTTAGTTTGGCATCTGGTTTGTGCTGGTTAAACAGATCCCAAGAAGGAATACTTCTTTCCCAATTAGCTTAACATTTTTTTCCTACCCAGTATGAATTTCACCATACAGTTTTAATTGCAAAAATATATATATATATTAATTAAAACCATTGACCATCCCCCGTAGCCAATCTGCTTTTTCTAAATTACTTTATTGAATCACAGAGCTTCGTGTAGCTTATAACATTGTTATGGCATACAAATGCTAAGAGCAACTTCTGTAGAAGAAAGAGAGAATACCTACATAGCTAGATATGAATTTCTACCTCAGCATGGAAAATACGTATGAAAACTCTACATAACAGTACTCTTTTTGAGATTTCAGGGATTGTTTTTCTTCTTCTTTTACCATGGCATTTCATCTAGATATCTTAGATACCTTTTGCTTTATCAAATGAGTCGCTTTTGCTGTTTCTCTACTGTTGAGATGGTTTCTGAAATGGCTTCAAAGAAGTTTATAAATGTGCATATATAGACATGTACACATACAAACTTCAAAATAGATTATTGTCTGTTTCTATACATTATTGTAAACCTCTCTGGTCAGGAACCACCTTCCGCCAAATCTCTGCCATTCACAATGGGTGCCACATTTGTGACTTTATCCTTTGTAATCGTGCTGGTGAAAAGGAAAGTAGATTCTCTGGAACAATCAAGAAGTTCCTGCGGATAGTTTTTATCAGGCCTAAAACTTCAGCCTTGGCATCATATTTCATGAGAATCCAAGAGAGATCGGAGCACTACAGTGCTATTTTGTCTGCTGTCTTCATAACCACGCAGGAGATTTGCAGTGTGTCATAAATTCAGTTTTGAATTTAGGGGGTCATCTGACCAGCAAATAAAGTCCTCAGAGTGTAAACAAAAAAAAAGAAAAAGATTTCAAAAAAGTACTGGGCAAGACTGACATTTTTCATGACTCTGTGCAGAGCAGGAGACTTGTTCTGCTGTTGCAGTCTGGCTGGCGCTGGGAGCCAAGACATGTGGGGCTCATTAAGTTCCAAACAAGTTACGAAAGTTTTAAGCAGGAAAGAGCTCAGTTTGAGGAATGAAACATTTGCTAGGAGCCTCCAAGTCGAGAAAATGTTTTGTTCTGCAGCTCTTTGCTTTGCCACTTAGTACTGCCAAGAAAGGAAAGGCAACTCAGGAAGTAAGGTTACCTAGTCTGAATGTACATCGTTAACGGCATGAAATTCTTCTTCAAAAGATGGAAAATTCAGCCCTAGTTGGGGGTGGAATCTATTAGAATGGATGAATCATGGCATATTTCCTGTATAACGAACTGCCCGAGACATTAAAAGAAAAAAATAAAATGTGGAAAAAGTCAAGGTTTGTCTTCAATTTGCATGGAGAAGCATAGCTATATAGGTATATGTGCATATGTGCATATAAATATATATTCATATACATGTAAACAGTTGTAAGTTTTACATTTCAGATGGAAGACTGGTTTCAGGTCTTCATCAGAGGAAGAATAAGTAATGAAATTAATATATTCATAAAAATGCAGCTGCTTAAAGATTTTTGTACAGAGTCTTGTTCCGATCAGAAGATGTTGTCAGAAGCAACACATTGGTACAAAAAGAAAAATCAGACTTGATAATCAGCATTTTTCAAAATATATGTCATTAATCTACTCCAGAATCACTGCACTTATGAAGAGCAGAAAACCAGGGAACAAGCTTTAATTAGTATAATTTTCAATCAGGATGGAAACAAACGTCACAGTGTAGAAATATCTCCACAGCCAAAACACCTCACAAGCTGGCTACAGCCTAACAAGTACAAATGATCAGGAGAAATGAAGGACATTTAGTGCTTCACTATTAGTAGCCAGCTCCCATTATCTCAGTCCACATAAAAGTTAAATCTGGCAATAGACAGTTTTTGAAGCTTATACTGCATGGGGAAAAAAAGCCACAGAGTGGCCCGATGCCTTCTTGGCCAGCCTAGAGTATGTCTTTGAAGTGATCCATTTGTGATAACTGCCATTACTCAAATACCAGTTTAGGAGCTCAATTAAAATATTTTATTCCTTGTCAAGTTTCAACAGGAGACTTCTTCCTTTCATTTTTAGCAGCTTTACTTTTGAAAAATCAATTATTTATATTTCAGATCAATTCCAAAAAAGCATCTGCATTATCATGATACAAAGCTAATTCCCACAATACAGCCGAGTCTTGTTCATGCATCCCAAGTACTCCCAGCCTTACAGTTCAATCTCTATAGCCTATTAGAACATCCACTTTTTGCTTACTATATTTCTGCAAAACCTAATAGAGTATGACCCAGTTTCTTCATGTGCACTGATATACGTTACCTTAAGGAATAAGGCGCCTGAAACAAAAACATCTTACACACCTCCTTGACAAAAACTAGCAATCTCTATGACTTCATCTGTTTCACTTGTAGGGTCCAGCCAGCCAAGAACCCACCTGGGTTCAAACATCTCTCAATATTACACAGACTTCAGTACATCATTTACACAGGAGTCACATACGTATCATTTGTACCGTACCTTTCAAATACCAACTTTTCAACAACGTCTTATTGATTTGTAAGAGAGGTATCTGACCTGAAAATCCACTTTGTTCCTCTGTGGATGAGATGAATGGCAGATTAAAAAGCAATAATTTCCTTAGAGAAAAACACAAAGCTGATGGAGAACTTCTTGTAGATTTGAAGATTTTTGTTTTACTTCCTGGGGGGGTGGGGGGGGAAAGAAAGAAAAAAAAAAGAGAATTTGTGAGAAAATACATTAAAAAAATAGATTTGAGCAAAAAAGTAGAACATGAAATACATTGCTGGAATTGATTATTAACTCTGTTAGCGTATATGATCTTAACTTTCTGTCTTAAACTGTGTTATAGAGCAGCTTCCCAGTGAAACACTAACAGGGGAAAATCTATCTTGAATTATTCTCATTACTGTGGAAAATCAAAACAAAGGCCAGTACTAGTAACAGTAATAATATATATTAGTTGCTGAATTATATATAAACAACACAGTCTTGAGTGATCTGAAAATTTTTATTTTGTCCATGAAAAACCTCGTCACAGGCTAAACATATATTTTCATTTACCTGTTGTTTCTGAACATTGCCTGCTCTTCCTCACCTAAACTACACTTAATTTTTGGTTCTGCAGTTTGGGAGATTTGCTGACAAAAGCATTACCCGTTATGATTACCTTTTCTGTATATAAGGGTAGAATACATAAATACACACATGTATAATCAGCAATGTAGGGAAGTTGATCTAAAAAAATTACATTACTAAATAGCAATGAAGCCAGAGCAGTTATATTGGTTTTATAAGTCCATCTGTGCGCTCAGGTGGACATTGGTGACAGAAGTCTACTGAATATAACAATTTTGACTACATCAGAAATTTATGTGAGTGTATATGTAGATATATATATACACACCAAGCAATTTTTGCTGTTTGTACATCGAGCTGTACTTCACAGGGCCTGCTGCATGAAGCAGCCATTTTATATTGGGCCTGGATTGATTTTTTTATGGATAGATTCATATTGCGATGTCTTACAGTAAATTTCTCAAGGCTTTTACTTGTTCTTTATTCTCTGTTTATCAAATGTAAAATAGCATTGGTCTACAAAGGTACACATAGCTCATGAAACTTGAAAGGTTTTAAAACTACGCAAGAAATTTCCTTTCGCTTTCTGGAAACGGTGGAAGTGATAAGAAAAATGTTTGAGTTGTAGGAAAGCATTCAAAGTACCTGACGTGGCAGAGGATTGTTTATGCTGCTCAGGTACAGGTGGTAGGAGGGGAGTACTGTGATAAGTCTGCATACTCATGGCAGGAATACACAGCTTACGGCAATGAGTTAGCAGAGATAGCATCACTGCAGTTACATTAAATAAAATAAAGAAAATGGCATAAAAATTCTAGTTCACAAATAACTGTACCTCAGCTTCAAACACCAGCGGTAGATTTATGAAACGTGTACATTTTGTTAAGGGAATAGTCTGAACCAGCAGTTTGGGACACTTAAGAAACACTGAGAAATCAGCCAATCTTGTCTGGAAGTTACAGAACTAAAAGCAGACTTGGGTTTAAGCTCAAGGACTTCACAGTCTGCTAGAATCTGGAGAAGACCTTGAATTTCCAAGCTCCAAAACAGTGAAAGCTCTGTGTGTCACTGAGCTTGTAAGCTCAGTTAGATTCATGAGCAGTGATTTTGCCTCACCAGTTTCTGTGCCCTTTGTAAAAAGGGGCCACAAAATGGTGGGATTTGGGGTCCCCTCTGGTCCCCCAGGCTGGCAGAGAAAAAAGAAAGAAAACAAGAGCATGTGCAGGAGAACTTTTCAGATTGCATGCAGCTCTCATGCAGTGTATTTGACATCTCAGTGGAGTGTGCACTGTAGGAAAAAAACATGTCACTGCTCTAAAACTGTCTTTTCTAATTCAGTGCATCCATGTATTGTTATAAATCGGTTTCCCACACACTGAAAGATACCGAGACAAGAGAGCAACTTTGACTGTTAGCTATCAGCTCAGATAATGAAAACTTTCTTTCAGCATTAAGCTTCCAGTATATGAAAAAAAATAAAACTAAAAATATAAATAAATGCCTTCATGCTTTGCCTGGAAGAGGTTCCTTCTAAGTGCACATAGGAATCAGGCGTTCACATTCATCCTGGTTCTGTTTCCAAGGGAGTTTTAAAAGCATCTGGAAGTCTACATTACAAATTGCTGTCCTTTACATTTCTGTATTTCTGAATCCTAATTATAGGGCTGTTGGCAGATGAAGCTGTCAGACAGTCAAGCTTGAGTACTTTGTATCTTAGTTTGGGTTCTGTTAGAGATTAATATAGAAGCATATCGAACACACTACTTATTCTGAGGTATCACAACAAATTACCTATAGGTACACACATTTCAGCAGATATACTGGCAAATTTACTATAAACGTATGTCATGATGAAAGAAACAAAGTAATTATCCAATAACAGACTTGAATATTGTACTTATCCCAAGGTCAAACATATAAACAAGGTAGTTTTGAATTTTACGGGCATTTACTGACTCTGAGAAACGCTTCCTTCCTACATATACCTGTCCACATTAGGTTGTCTGTTGAAAATTCTTAGTCTTTCTGGATGAAGAGTGATTAGTACTGAGAATATAAACAAGTCTCACTTTGTCACAATAAACAAAATGCTACTATCCGTAAGCACCGCAGGTAAACAATAGGTACTGTCTTCATATTAGCATCTCTGCACTTGACAGCAAAGATATATTTTGCCACATGGCTAAGTCTGGGGGCAGACAGCTTATTTATATAACTTTGGCTTACCAGTTTCCTTCATAAAGAATGAAACCTTCACTAAATGATAATCTTTTGACCTCCAACAGGATAGTGATTTACAGAGCCACAAAGACAACACTGTGTTTAAAAAGCTTTAAGACTCCATTTAAAGCTTTTACGGTGCAACAGTGCTTCTAATAATACATTTAGTGCTCCAAGTTGAGACAGCTTGCTGAATAAAGAAATACTTCTTACACGTTTAAAAATGAATTACTTACAATATAAATATGTTTTACTGCAATCTGTGAAAAACAGCTTGCAAAATATAGCTACAGTTTCGTAGTATCTGGTAGTCAAACAAGGAGCAGCGAGGGCAGAGTGGGAGGAGAAAGGCTGCATGACAAACCCCTGGATGTCTGATGGGAGAGAAAATGACATCCTTGATGTAAAAGCACTCTAACAATGTAAACTAGAAGGATGATGTACATAACCATTCTAGTGTAACGCACATGATTTTCACTTGGACAGATATGTTATTTAGATCCTGTCATGAAATATAAGTCTTCATTTCCCTTCTACATCCAAGTAACTGGATTTTCCACTCAGCAAAGCAGCACCGTTAAGTAAGTTAAAGACACAGCATCAGATGTTTGAAGTTTTAAGTATCCTCTCTCTTGCAGATCCATGTTATATTCAGACAGCTGGTTGTGGTGCATTTATTTCTAGAATACATTACTCACTTTTTGCGTGATCATTTCTGGGTAGAAGCTGGCATCTGCTCTGGTTTATTCACCTTTTGTGTTGGAATAAGGAGGAAGCATGACCTTGTACTGATGAATCTCTTTACACTAACAGCCAGAGCAAGCATGTTTTGATTTTTGTGTTGTTTTTTGTTTTTTTTAAAAAAGAGAAAGTTGGTTAAGATTAGAACAGGACAATTCATTGCATAGGTTAAGAGCCTAACCCAAAGATCTACGAAGTCAGGCTTGAATGTTACTCAGATCAGTGTAACAGAGAAGGAATCAGAGTGTCTGTTACTATGTCAAGATGGATTTCTTGTGCCTGCCCTTTTTCCCTTTCTACTGGAAGACGTTATTCAGACTCTGACAGGAAATGCAAGATTTCACTTTTTTATACGTGAAAGTGACTAGATATTCTGCACATTGCATCACTTTGTGGACCACTTTCCAGGACATATTTTCTCTCCCAGCTGTCAAAATAATTAATGATTTGAATTAGCATTTCAATTAGGGGCTGTATTTTGTTTCTGCTGTTTTGAGAAGTCATACCTTGGTCACGTAATGGCACATTTCTGTGAACTTCTGGGATAAAGCGTGGCTTTATTCAAGGTACTCAAAGACCAAAGTGCTGTGATTTTCAAAAGTGCACTGAGGAGCTCTGGCTGTACATTCACCTTCCTGTGTTGGACATGTGGACAGAATTATCGCTTACAGGCTCTAGCCGTGCCTTTTAGAAAGACAGTGTGAACAGATGCAAGGAAGGAAAAATTCCTTGCCAGCTGGAAAGGAATGCAGACATGGGGATCAGCAGAGCTCAAAATGAGAGCAGTTATGGGAAAGTGAAGAGCCTTCATCAAGCTGCAGGTCACCTCCAGCTTGTGCATTGTGGAACAAAACTGTCCTGAGGCAAAGGGAGCGAGACAACAAAACAATGATGCCCTGACTGTAGCTATCTGGGTGCTTCAGGTAGCCAGCAGAAAGGGGTTCCAGCACCAGTGCTCAAGACCAGGGAACGGAGAGCAGCAGAAGCTGGGAAAAAAGCTGCAGGGGGATCAACTTGCAGCCAGAGCTAGCTGGAACTGCAAAAAGAAGGAGAGAAATCTCTGGAAGCAGCAGGAGAGTTGAGCCTGACAGGACAGGAGGAGAAAGGACTTGATAAGAAGCTGCAGCTTTTTCCTTTGCTTTCCTGATGAGTTGTGCTCAAAGCAGCAGCACACTTCTACTGCAGGTACTTAAAGATGTAAAAGCTTACTGAAGTCAACAGACATAAAACAAGCCTAACAGCATGATGTAATTTTTGTGTTCCTGCTAGAGGTGGCCAAGACTTTTTCAACTAATTATAGCTTCAGCAAAATATGCAGTTTCACCTAAATTAGTAATTTTGGCTGCAGAAGGAGTATCCGCCACAATCCACTTCATTTCTCAAAACATTTGGAAGATTTTGTTTCAATTTCACTTGCTTGCCAAATGGAAGTAGATTATTCTCTAAAATTTTCACAAGGAGGAATTGCTGCCGGAAGACCAAAACAAATACAGTTCCCAGACCATTAGAAATGATGTTCAAAATCTTTTTCTTTTTTCTTTTTATTCTAATCTGTTCTCTTCATCCCAGTGCCAGGAAAGGAGCATCTGCATAAATTAGCGCTGCATGTTAGTCAGTGACTGGGTAAATTTGCCATGGGAGGGAGCAATGAAAACATGGCTACTCTCCTCTGTTTGGGTGAAAGTCTACAAAACAGCAGCATGCAAAACTGAAGAAAACTAAAAGATGGATTACAGTCATGGAAGAGCTTCTGTAATTTGTTTTCATATTGATTTATCAATACATAATATTCATTTGGCTATCACTAATCTCATTTCCCTAGACATGCACACACATTCTAGTAGCACTTTTTCATTTAAGACGTATGTGCCGAAGTTGAAAAACAATTAACCACTCTGAGGGGGAAAAGAGAATCAAACTGAGACCCTTGCTCCTTCATCTGCTTTGTTCGATAGCAGCTTTATTTTTATCTATAATTTTCTTCTTTTTATTTCCATCATTTCACTACTGTGCCTGCTATCAGTGATCTCCTGATAATATTCAATCAGGCCATGTATTCTTGCTATGATCAGTGTAACAGCGAGCATTAGGTTTGTTTTTGTAATCTTCAAATACTACAATCATTATCCACCACAAAGAGGCACAGATCACAGGAGGATGCATTTATGAACTACTAAGACAGATTTTTGGTTAAACCTGAGATTAAGTTGTATAAGATCAGTGGGATTTATTTTTAAATGTTTCAGAAAAGTTGGGTATTAATTAGGTTCCTTAGCAGAGGTAAATTAAATAAATTGATCACACAGTGACTTCTCACTAAACCAAAGAGAACTGATAGATATTCCAGAACTGCCTTAGCAACCCAGGAAATTTTAGGTAACATTTTTGAAAGATGTTTAAATATCCAAAAATCTGAATGACCCCTACAGGAAACTTTGAAAACACCCTGAAACCAATGAGTTAAGTACCTTGACACAGTTGAATTTCAATGGAAATACCAGTCTAGCTGAATATTTAGAACTAAAAAGATTTAAAAATATATGTGCCTGGCAGCTTCATTCATTATGAAGGCAAGAACCGGACCCGTAAATAAAGCACACTGAACAGTTCACACACTATAAAACAATCAGATTAATTTCTGAATAATTGGATGAGTGCAGAACAGAAAGCAAATGAGAGAATGCAGTGGTACCAAAACACACCATGCCCTCCATCCAGGGCTTGCCCTATTGTAGGGGGGCAAGCTCTGTAAGCGTAGGGACAGTCAGGATGGCTAATGCAAAGAAGGAGCTGAAAGTAGAAATGCCTACATCAGAAAAGGATGCACTCAGAACTGTTCCTCAAACAGGAGTAACTGGAAAATCTTCAACTGAAAAATCTTAAGGAACTGGTGCAAGAAAATCTTTGTATTGCAGCAAAACCTATGAACCATCCCAGGCTATAGGAACAACGCCTAAGAAATACAAAAATTGTTTAATACGGAAGGGCAACAAATTCAGCTGTTGGTGATATCATGATGAAGTAAGGAAAGTGAGATTTTGATTATATACACAGTAAGTCTAGTCCTGGAATTTACCTTGTTTAACAAAGACAGTTCAATCAGAATAAAGTTCCATTCTCATTAGCATCTCTATCTGAAAATAACCAGTGCTATGAATAAAAGAGTATATTCTTCTGAAGAGAAAGAAAGCCTGTTATATCCCATGCAGATGCGTTACTACAGTCAACACTTTACCACATTACAGCAACTCAAGGCTTTTATTTCGGGAAAATGTAGAAGTAGGATTGAATGATTATTCTGGAGACAGGAAAAAAGGGGTAAGAGGCACAAAGGACAAGTTCTGCAGAACTTCTCTTTTAAGCAGCGTATTTTTGTAGACAATACCTTTTAGGAGGGTCTTTCATTAGTGTAGTCAGCTGGTCAACTAGTCTCTTTCTGAAGAAATTGATATATAAAAGAGCCAAGAAACCTTGAAAAAAGTATGTTAAAGATTTTTTTTATGATATGTAAGGGAGCTATAAGATGAATTTAGTAATAAAGAAGTGAGTTTTAAAAGAATAATCACGTTTCACAAATTGCAACGTTAAGAAAGACACTTATAATGTCTCCATTTTTAAATTTTAAATATTATTGAACTCTAAAGCCTGGCCTGAAGAATTTTATTGCAAAGAATAAGGGAGGCATTAAAACGTTGAGTTATGTACAGATTTCTTTCTAGTAACTGCAGAAATGTGCACAAAATTACACACATGCCATGGGTTACTAAACATACCTTATATTATTACACCTGAATGTATAAATAGAGATATACCCAGTCCTCTCACATACTCTCTGCAATTATTCTGTACACAGATCACAAGCTATCAAGAGGGAAATTAATGAGGACCATTACGGAAAAAAACTAAGATGCTGATGACAGACAAATTTAATATTGTTGGAGACAGAGAATTAATTCTCGTCTTTGTACTTCCAGAAAAAGCTAAAGGTCATATCCTGAAGAATGCAAAGGTGAAATGTTAAAAGGTTTTATGATAATGCTAATGCAGACAGGCAATTAGAAGTATCAGAGGTTTGCAAAGCTTTATAAACTCAAGTGAATTAAAAGCCAGGATCAAGGAGAAAAGAACAGGAGCTTTTTGGCAGTTGTTTAATCCCTGGTAGTGTGAGCAACTCTACATGCCCAAACAGGGTTAATAATTTAGAACTGATATTACAGAAAAAAATCCTAAATGGATAGTGCAGACCTATGCACTCGCTAACACTAAAGGTGAAATATTGATAAGAAATGAGATACTTACACATAATTTAAAGCTATTTGAAACTGCTGAAAGCAGCATGGTTTCAGGAAATAAATCGTTCCTTCAGTGGCATGTGTTCTGGCCAGAAGGAAGAAGAATCGAGTTAGCCTGTGGGTAAAAGCAAAAGGGAATTTTAAGGAGGCTTTGAATTATTTCTAATCTATGGTACAACTTCTCAAATTTGAAGCTCACAAATTGTATTCTAAGCCAAGACTAGGACATTATCTTGGTAGATGAATGAAGCATTCAATGGTCATGTTCTAGCCATGACCTGTTGGCAATTCAGCCAATGCTTCACCCTTACCACTGACTTTTATTTCACGTACATTACGGAGCCATGAAAGTTGCCTGAATCTAGAGGAGAAAACATACCATGATTTTTACCAGTGATAGGCTTTTGCACGGACTCACAATAGTCATATGATACTCCGTTTTGAGGTAAACTTTGTATTTGTTCAGAAGTATTGAGGAACTGTTCAGTTCCTCAAGACAAGTGAGAGAAATTCAATGGTGAATAAGAAAGACACAAGTACTTGGAATATATAATAGCATAACCACGAACAAATGTAAACAGCAACATAGCAAAAGCCCCAGCTCAGTCCACCAGTCAGTGCCATGAACTCCATGCTGGCTGCTATTTAGTTTTCTTCTCAGTGTTTATTTCACCTTCACTTGTCTGGCACCTCCATTACAAGACCCATGCTGAAGACCATGTCTTCACAATGACCTCGCCTCCTTGATTTCCAGATAAATGAAGCACTGCACAGAACAGTTTTTAGATTAGGGGAACTAATGTTAATTTTAGAAGCAGCTACCAATTTTTGATCAGAAAACTAATTTTTCTAATAACGCTATAAAATCACAGAGCACAAGGTGTATATTTCAAGACAACCAAATGTTTTATGGCCAAAACAAGTCAGAACAGCATTGTGAAGTTTATACTGTAAGACAGAGGAGACAGAGACTTAAATATATTAGATTCAGAAAAGGTTTTTCTAACAGTCAGCACTGGTAGAGCACTTCCTAGCAATTTCTGAATATGCATGAATTTGCATTACACTTTGCAAACAAAACTGAGAACAGCCATCCAAGTTATCTTTGACTGGTCTACCCTTCTGTTGGCCAGCTGTGAGCTCTAGAGGAAGTCAAGGTACTCTCCTTCCAGTACAAATCCAAAGTCCAGACAGACTTACTGCTTGCTGTAGCTGTTGGTACTACAAAGATGTAGGCTTGGCACACTTCTGTCAAAGTTGCAATGGGACTTAAAATCAATATGCACAAAGTGACAGCTGATTTCACGATGCAAATATTCACCCTAGAAGAGCAGATAGCATTGGACAAGACTGTGTTTGGAGTAAGCAGGTGATGTTTCTTGTATCCAGCATGATAGCATGAGGCAACAGTCTTCTCTGCTAGATTTTTTATAATAAAATATTCTGTGCTTGAGGCACAGAGCAGTTAACCTGGCATGAAAACACAAGGTGCGTCTGGTATATAGTTAATGTCTCTTCAGCTCAGCAGTGGCTGGCTCAGTAATTCCCCTAATATTCCTGAGAGAAGCTGAAGAAAAAAAAACACATAGCTGCCTCTGCTGAGATTGCCATGAGTGCAATCTGCTTACTCAATTATTTGTTCTTTCACAGTAATAGTATAAACATTTGCATGTGGTTTATACATCCAATCAGATTTCCTTCTCCATATTTTTCACCTTGTCTCTCAAAAGCCAGAGATCTTGCTTGTTGGAAGTATATGTATGTCTTAACTACATGACGGACATTAAAGAAGCTGAAATTAATGAATTACCCTCATAACAGAGATTATAGATATCCCCAAAACAGCATTATTTAGAAGTATTGTGTTCTCAAATATATTAGATAGGTTGTGCTTCTCCTAGAGCTAGATGTCATGTTTTTGTCTATAAAATATGGAAATGGTTTTCAGGTCTGCAGCTGAAAATAATACCTGGGTGACATATTCAAGAAAGTGTCTGTACTAGTAATCATGTTTTATAAGGCTGTCATTATTACTCTTGGCTTGAGCTCTGTTAATATATATGTATTCTTCAGAAGAGAAGTACAACACAACATTCTCAAGACTTGCAAAGTAAACTATCATCCAATGCCTTGGTATTAGAAGGAAAGCAAGCAATGAAAAGACAGGGAGCTGCTTCTCATTAACTATTGTAAGATGTCAGCAAGATTAAGGTGTCAGGGTATAGAAAGATGAAGAAGAAAAGAATTACTTAGCAAATAGGCATAAATGAATATAAAATGTGAATAGAGGGTTCTAGCTTCTTCTAAGGGTAAAAATGGGCCAGTAGACATTATATTGTGCTACAATCAACTCATCCACTTGATTTTGACCTTCATCCTCATAGGTGAGAGGAGCGAGAGCAAAATGTTACCACATAGCCGGTGCTGGGAACTTTCAGAACCATTATTTCTGAAAAGAAATGAATATTCAAAGGCCCCCTTGACATAATGAAGGTTAAATCCTATGTGGGGTTTTGCAGGCACACACAAGTGCTGTCTGGCTTAGCTCTAAAAAAGCCTGAGCTCAGTCTGTCTGTGAGCTGCTGGGGGGCTGCACAGCCACATTAAAGCAGGGCTGAGCTCCTGCTCAATGAACTGGTGATAAAGACAGAGCATTACTTTGTCATCTCACAAACGAAGCTACACAACAGGCAATGGGTCTGGCAAAACAAAAATATCACACAGACATACATACACACAGAGAAGTCACTTGGCTGCAAATTAGTACACAACTGACTCTTAGAAACCACCTTAAGTATCACTAGCTAATAGCAGCTATCACAAGCTCATACCATTTAAATACCCGGAAGATATTTAAGTTCAATGAGTGAACAGTGCTTACCTGCCAATGAGAGAAAAACAGCCCCATTTTCTCCAAAGGAAAGCAATTCCAGCCAGGTATTGCCACTACAAAAACAGCTTTTCTTTGTAAGGGTTTAAAAAAAAAAACAACAGGCAGGCAACAAACAGGATAGTAAAAACATGGTATCACTTCAGGAAAATATTGTGCAAATTGTGGACACTATTTGAAGTTGTTTTTACTTGAATTTAATTCCCAGTGGTCAGTTACAAGTAGAATGGCCTTTCCATGCCTCAACAGCTGCTCTACAGCCATGGGCAGGTGTTGTGAGAAACCTGTATTTCTAAAACCTAGAAGCATTTCCTGTGTCATGCACTGATTTAAATTGTGAGCCAATTTATCCGAGCTGATGTAAAACCCAGTATGATTGCTTGAATCAGATTTATGCAGATAGGAAAAGATGCATCTGTTTCCTCAGCAACAGTTTCAGTCCAGAAACTGTGGAGGAAAAGCATATTAGGTTGCATCCAGCCTTCAGAAATAAAAATTACTGTTTTGAGACTGAAGCTGGCAGGAAAAGGATATATACACACCTATACACACCTTGTTCTTAGGTGACTCTAAATCACAACTTTTAACACAGATAAAATAAAGTTAGTTCCCAGATAACGTTAAAACATCAACAACCAAAACAAGCAAACAAAAACAAAGGAAGGAATACAGCAATATCTTAGGCACGGCATAAAATCTTAACCTCACACTATCATTACAGTTATACAACATCTTATGTCTATTTCTACCAGTGCCTCTGTGGTCAACATGTACATCAAGTGCAAATTTGTTTGCATTTAGTGAGATGCTGTTTGCTATATGGCTGGTAACGCTTCTGGTGATTGCAGGAAAGAGAGCAAAAGCCTGATGGCTACAGCTAAGTTCATAGTCCATTGTTTTACAAAGGTGCACTTTTTGCTATACTTTCCTCTTTTTATTCGGTAGGTTTGGAAGTATCCCTCTCTGTCCCACTGCACGATAAAAGCTTTGCTCTGGTTCCCATCTGCCGTCTTTGAGAGATCAATTGTAGAATATTCATCAGTGGAAACGTGAGGCTTTTGCCACAGTTTCTCTAAAATCCATCTCTTCAGTCATATGCAAGCTGAAATGGATCAGTTTTCACCGGCATTGGCATTAAGCCTCTGTGCTCTCCCATGTGCTCTGTTCAATAATTTAAGAGGAGTGGGAAACAAATTATGTGACTATTAATTCCAGTTTTCTTGTTCAGATGCCAGTACATCAAAAATAGATCTCACCAGGCCCGAGCACTTTGTCATGTTATCTGGAGTAATACTGGTTTGTGAATTATGTCTGGTCAGTTTAGTGTCTCTGTTTGGTCACATTAATCTCTTTGACCACTGCCTTAATCACTGAACTCTTCCATCTCATTTTTCATCTTACAGAAGGAAGCTGTCTGACTTTTTGTCTAGCGCCTGGCACAGTGACTGCTCTGATGGCCCCGCAGCAGCTAGAGGAACCCAGAGGTCTCCTGGGCGGCAGCAGGACCAGCCACAATGGGCACCATCTCACCAGGTTCAAGTATCTCATCCATTCCCTAGCGACCACACAAATACCAGAGTACCTCAGAAGGCTAGCAACTTGCTGCCCAGGAAGGTAACGGAAACTAACAACACACCCAGGCTGCATGAAGATCAAATAATTGCCAATCCACTTACAGAAAATAATTAGTAGAGAATTTTTTACTTGTATGTGTGAGTTACATCAGCCACAAGATGCTTCTCTGTATTTTCACGATGACAAAAAAGCCAGCCTAGCCCATTGCATTTACTCTTTGTATATAATCTTGGTAAGTCCATGTGGCAGATACAATTTTGAAACCTATAGTTACATATATCTATACTTCCATATATTACTTTATCATAAACTAGTAAGTACTAAAGTATAATTTCTAAATATTAATTGCATTTAAGATTTTTTTTTTTCCTATTAAATGTGTGCAATTAATACAAACAAAAATATATTTCTACTACGGAAGCCTATAAAAGCTATGGACTGGAGGCAAACCTATCTGCTTCTGCTCCAAAAGCCAACAATAAATACAAGCGCCTAGACACTGTAGTATGATATCAACTCCCTAGATATTTTATAAACTAGCTAGCATACAATGCAAGAAATATTAGGTTGTTTACAATATCTAGTTACCTATAGGTCTTTAGAATGACATTTCATCAAAGAAAATTTGTACTTTTTGTCTTTCTCTCAGA